AATTCCAGCACCTGAAAACACATGATACAAGTACAATGCATGACTATTAAAGTATGCGACTGTGCATTACACAAAACACGCCTGTGGTGTTGGTGCAAAGTTACAGGACTGCTAAGAAAGCTGGATTTCCACCTTTAGCGCCAGCGGAGGATTTTGCTATCCACACTGTCCCCTCGCCGTTCTCTTTCTTCTGACTATAGGAGGCCAGGAACACCTCCCTCTCATCAGTCTTTGGGTGGTGCTTCATGTGGTTGATGCCGTTCTTGGCGGGAGCCACAGGGGTGTTGAGGTTGGTGGGATAGATCACATACGACTCGGGGAACCAGTTGCATGAATCTGACAGCTCTGGACTCGTCTTGATTAACCTGCAAAAATGTGAGGTTTACCATAAGGAACCAGAGACCTGATTTGCGCTGTGAGAAAATTGTCTTTCAAATATTTCATTATGGGGTGGACAATTGGGCTCCTAAGGCACAGAAAGACAACTATGAAAGTCTTTGGGGCTTTAGAGTACAACTGGTCCTTTTCTATACCACTATTAATTGCTAAGATTCATTAACATGAGCCAAGCATCGCATTTGATTAACTATACACACCAAATAATGAATCTAAGTAATTCATTAGGCTTTGTAGGTATGTCAAATATCTTTCACCAGCTATCTGGGTCATGCTCATTCAAGAAGATTTTTAATTTAAAAGGTCACGAGTGTTGTCCATTTCTCCAAAACGAATTCAGGTTGAACCTTTCTAAAACTAAAGAAGAAACCTTATCTCTGCAGACCACTAAGCACTTTCACTACATTCATCAGAAAAAAAAAATAGAGATCTTAGTTCTTTCCACCGAGGCAGATCCGAAATACGCACGGTTAGTTCTGTAAAAAAGCCCATTCTTGCCCTTGCCCAGTGGATATACAATTTGGTTCAAATCAGGTGCAATGTGAAAGAAAACTGATCTTGCACACTGGGGGTGTCCTTGACCATACAAAAATTTGCGTTGATCAGCAATAATCTGTCTTAAGACAGTAACACAGAATAAAGGTGCCAGCTGGAACTCTGACAGGTTGATGCCTTATGCATTTTATCGTGCCAGAGTGGGCTGGATTTTATTGATTTGATTTTCTCTCACATCACGGCCCCTGGCATTTTCATTCACGTGACATCAGCCTTCAAAACATGGAGTAGCCAAAGTCTCCCAACACAATCTTTTTATCGGACATAAGAAAAGCACTTTAATAATTAAAATGAATCATAGGAGGTAATGTACATACTTGACCAGAGATGCTTTGCGGCACAGTTTGTCAGCTCCTCTATAATAATTCACCAGCTGCATTAATCCGGGTTCATGACCTGATGACGAAAAGTCAGTTGTAGTAATAAAAACCCAGTACCATTGTAGATGAACATGAGCTGTCTTTCACCTGAAGTTAAAAACCACTATGGCATTACTCATTATCATTAGTATATCATATATCTCACAGTGACACAGAAAATACAAGTCATCTAGGGTCACAATTATAAATGCATAATTTGCCATGCTTATCTTCGTTGTCAAAGAAAACCTTGTGGAGTACAGTACTAGAATAATCACTGAAACTTCACTGTATAGAAGGAAGACATGAACAAGGGAGTGATCTCTAAAATTCATCCAAAGTGAATTTATTTCCAGACGCTGGAGCACAGCAACTTAATAACTGGAGTCTTCCTAATTAAAGATGCGCTGCTGGGGCTGCATTCTCACAGAGAATGCTTAACTTACCCTTTCTGTTGTCCTCTGATAGCATTCCTATTACGGATGTCTGAGCCTTAATCTATTCAACCTAATTACTGTTTAGGAATTAAAAATTATTTAACAAACTTATTTTCCCCCCAAACATTAGATATAATAATAATGAATAATATGAAATAACCGGTATATGTGCAATACAATTTAGAACATTTTTATCATTTGAAATCTCCGGTTAAAAATTATAAATCGTTAGTTCAAGCTATATTTCAAACGTTAACTATGAACAAACAACGCTTGGAATCGAAAGTACTGGGACAAAACCCTGACAGACATGAATAATGGTGTTTTTTTCAAAACCTGGGATTGATACATTACAGTACTTACCTAGTCTACCAAATGGCAGTCTGTTCCTCTCCCCCAGCATTAAATTGAATCTGGGATTGTCTTTTTTTAGTCTCTTCCATTGTCCAGTAGAAAGAAGGATTTTGGAAACTTCAGCATAAACACTACTATTTTCATCTCGGGCGACGAATGTATACATAGTTATATTCATGCTATACAAACAGAATTCAGAATAACAGTAACTTGACCGAAACCTAATTTAATGTAACTCTTACCAAAGTACCCCGGAGCGTGAGTCATCTCTATCTGCAACAGCAGTGCCGGAAAATGTTCATAAGGAACACTCCGGGCTTCTGCAACGCATAATGCTGCCCGTTCAACACTTACAGTTTCAAGCACGCAATAATAATTATCAAAGACTAAATCTGGGTGTCCCGAGAAGCTACACGGTTGATTGTCCTAATTTTTAATTTGAAATCACCTTCTTCATTTAACGTCATCAGAGCATCAGAATGCTTGAGGGCAGACCAGCATGATTTTTTGAAGACCACTACTAGAAGGCCAGTAATTCCAAGTTTTGCTCAAGAGCGAGATTTACGATCGTTTAAATCCCATCCTTCTGCTGAATCCACCCAAGCCTGCTTTTCCCTTTATTCCCATTTCCAGCTGTCAGCCCCCGGTGTCACATGGCCCGGCTCCGCGCAGCCGCAGACAAGCTAGGCGCGAGGGCTTCTGGGTATTGACGTTCGGCCCGCAAAGTGCTGTTCGATAAATGCGGCGCTTTCATTGAGCATCACTAACCAGTGCAGCCTGCTGTGATAAGAGTCTTCATTACATTTTGAGATTAAAAATAGATCAGTGCAAAGTCTTAGATCCCAAGCAGCTTTCTTTCTGGTGTACTAATTGAAAATACTACATGTCCCAAAGTGCATTGCTTCAGCCTTTCGAAGTCTGCCCCCAACAATAGCTAAACTGACTCCTGGTTAATGTATTCCTCTCAGACATTTTTTAAATAGATGTCCGATTATGTTTTTCACTTTAAACAGTAAACAATAACATATTTCTCTGTATAACCTATGTGTTAAATAATATAATAAAAATATCAAAATTAGTAGTAGAACAAGCATCTACACATCCCCAGCTCTGTAAACGTTTTTATTGATAAAGGAATATTGACTTTAATGCCACTTGAGGTTTTGAATTAAGCACAAACCAAAAATATAAATGTGTTCTTGGCAAGGTCTCTTTCAGAGCAGTGGCTGTGATAGTAATGGATGCAAGATATTCTTAAAAAAAAGATTTACTGTTCACTGGACCTGAACATAACTGATATAAGGCAGTATTACTCAATTACTAGTGTTACATTCTTAATTAATGTCAGCCAACGTCAACAGAATGTGAGAGAAAAACTTCAAATTAAGCACAATCAGGGTGTTCAGTTTTGATGATGTCATTGTTTGGGTCAGCTGACAGCTAGTTGCTATGCAACGCTTCAGCCATTCTAGCAGGCCTCCGGAACCCTGATGTCAGGATAAGACCAACATCTAATCAGCACAGCCACTCTACCGCTCAGGTAAATGGTTCTGTTGAAATTTGGCATTGATACTCTTCTTCTAATTATTTCTAATGAAGCAAGCGACACTGCATTGCGCAAAGCCCGTTCAGACTACTATGTTACAGATAATGTATTTCATGCATTTCCCAGTTTTAGATCTCACACGGTGCAGCAGTACATTGTAAAACATGCATGCCTCTTTATATAGTCTTGTGGGTAAATAGCATTCATTAGTTCCCACTTGTATCCTTATGAGCTTCCTTGAAAAGACTCTTTATTCAAATGTTTCTTTAAAGTGAGTTACTTCATTGAAACAGAGTGTGGACATGCTGTGCAGTCCGTGCCCCTTGCAACGGAAAATTGACGTTTCACTGCGCGTTGCTCTCGGAGAACCTTTCCAGGTCGCGGGCACACACACCTTCTCTGGGTTTGACAGGCATGGCGTCCCTCTGGGAGAGCGGCACGAGCTGCACGGTAAGAACCAGGTCCGTGGAAAGAGTGGTCGCTCCCATCGCCGCTCAGGTGTGCCGCCTGCTGGTGGGAGGCGGACGGGGGGGCAGGGGAGAGGCGCCGGCCCCGCTGGAGGAGGCAGCTGCAGCGGTGGCAGCAGCGATGAGGAGGCTGGCTGCCGTGGCCTCTAGGTAACGCGAGAGCCGCAGCCCCGGCCGCGACGCGTGAATGCATTCCTCTGCCAGGCCAGGACAAGGGACATCACATTTAGAAAGCAAGTTGCAAGTTTTATCACTCGCATTTGCCATCTACTTGTGGAATGCATTTGAGCACATTTATATACATCCATGTTGTTCCCATGAGAGTCTGCTGTAAAGCTTTCAGAAGGATCAATGTCTTGGTTAGCGTACAAGAAGCACTTTGTTGTTCAAATGCAGGCAGCCCATTTAATCCATGTTTTTGCTTATTTGCTCTTTTTTTCCTCATGTCTTTTCTGGATCTTTTTAAATGTGCAAGATTTTTTGCACGTACAGTATTTCAAGCATGCTGGACCACAGGGGACATATTCTGTATAAAAGCATATAACAACGTAAGAAAGGTTACAAACGGGAGCAGGTCATTTCTAGTTCATTTGGTTGCTGATTTGGAGTGTTTCTCCAGCACTGGCTCCTGTATCAAAGCCTGATAGGCCAGCAGTACCAGGGGCCACTGACAGACCACTGGTGCTCTTGTCCACTGGTCAGACCTTGGTCCTGCTCTCTCAAAGCGGCTGAGGTGGGTTAGAGCACTTGGCTGAACTGCTCCAGCAATCTGTTGCTTTGCGGGCGGAACAAGGTGGTGCAGTTTTCTGGAGCGGCTGCCACTGGCAGGACTCCTGATTGACAGAGAACAGGAAGTGCTGACCCTGGCCACTGGGATCCTACGGAGGGATCCTACAGGGATTGACTTGCTCAAACTATCTGAACCAGCTAGTCCCAGTGACCTTTACTACGTCCATACAAACAATATAAAGGGATTGGTATCATAAAACAATATTCCACGCTGAAAAGAAAAGAAAGGAATGACAACATTTCGGCTGTGGAGCCTTCTTCAGGCATGAGCTCACACCACGACCAAAACGTTGTGTTTCCTTTCTTTTCAGCGTGGAATAAACCCGTTACCTGTTTCTTGGCAGCCTACGCATGCTGAAGCAGCCCCCTACTGGAAATAATAAAACAATATTTCAATATAAATATTCAGGGAAGAAAAACATGACAGCATTACGTTGCAACACATTGTCCTTTTCTCAGGTTGGCAGAAGAATCAGAAGATGACATCCTAAGGAAAGAAATGGGGACAGCAACAGATTGTGTGCTAGCCTCTGGACAGAACCTACTACTGGCTGCCCAGAAACTCAACATTCAGCCTACCTCACCAGACCACAGAGAGGAGCTGATCATCTCAGCTCAGAATGTCTTACTTGGAACTTTAAAGGTTAGGAACAGTTGTGATTGCACATGATCCTTACAGTGAAAAAAGACCTATCTGGCGTTATTAGGAGTTTGGAATAGGATTGAAATTGTTGGGTTATAATGAAAAAAAAAAAATTCCAACATATTTATTCAGCCTTGTAAGTTGTGTGAGTCATGTACCCTCAGAAATATTCTTTTATCCACTCATTTTCAGCAAAAAGCAAACTCATTTATAATTCTGGAATGATGTTATCATTTATGTCCTCAGACCTTCAGCACCCATGATAATACATTCTTACTGTGTTGTTTTCTACTGTTCCTAGATTCTCTTAGTGGAGGATGATGCTGCTGTGAGGGAGATAGTCACAGCAGCTCACTGGCTGTTGGACTGCCTCACGCAGCTTGAATCGGCTCCGGATATACCATCCTTGCTGAAGTCATTCCGAGGCTTTTCAGAAGCTTTGCTTCTGTTAAACAACTTGGCAGAAAAGCGTCTCGAGGAACTGCGGGATCCTGCTCAGCAGAGAAATCTGGTTCGCTCCCTGGAAACCCTCAAGAAGTGCATTTCCATGTTGTACACAGCCATGCACACCACCATCAAACACCCCCAAAATGAACAAGCACGCTCTGCTAAGAAGTACGTCCTCGATCAAGCCGATACGTCCATAACAGAGTTAATATTGCTACTGAAAAGTAACTTCAGTGAAAACACTTCTGCCTCTCAAGGGTACTACACTGAGAAGCTGCAGGGGCTGCTTCAGCTATTGTCCAGCTCTAGCTGTTCGTCAATTAGGGGTAGTGACTTTGACAGCCTTTTGCGAGATCTGGTGATCTATTGCATGGTGGTGGCAAACACTTCCAGGAAAGAAAGGCAGCTTATTGTGATTAAATATTGCCAACGTGTCCTACACCACTGGTCAGAAATATCCAGGCAAGCAAAGCTTTTAGGTAATTCTCCTGACTCCAAACAAACACAGCAAGATATTGAAGATAACTGTGTCTCCATGAAAAATGAGTTACAGAACCTGGACAACAGTATACTCACAGCCATTCTGTATCAAAGTGTGGATGTTTTTACAGCTCCCAACACTCTTTTTGAGAAGCTTATAAGTGTGGCCACAGAGTCTACAAATGACTCGATTGAGCTGGATCACCTCCAGCCCCCTCTCACTGCCTTCCTCGCACATGCTGATCGTGTGATCCAAGTTGCAGGTTTTATTTCCGCTTGCTCTACTGGTACCAAGAACATCGTGAACATCGAGAGTTCAAGAACACGCTTAAAGCAGCTAAAGGACAGCATTGTGCCAAGCCTATTAGAATTGGGTAAAACCTCTCTGTGCTCTGAAGCTCTGGGGAAGCTCCAGGAATTATACCGGCTGTGGGCAGAAGAAGTCGACCAGCTCCTGGGCTCTCTCACTGATGTCATCAACATAAAGCAGCTTCTAGATCTTTGCATTCAAGAGCTGATGACTGACAAGAGGGAATGTGAAAAGGCCCATACTAGCCAAAGTGCCAGTCAGTTTGAAGAGCACTCGGTCAGGCTCATAGGGCGGATGAACTATGTGGTTATAACCGCAAAAAGGCACGTGGACAAAAGTGACAACCCGGTTTTCCGAAACGGCCTTCTGGTCCTGATAAAACAAGTGGAAAACTGTGCTTCACATACAACGCTGGCTGTGCGTCACTGCCTAAAACACTGCTCGGATGTGAAACCCTTCAGCTTGTTTTCAGAAATCGTTCTGAAGTCAATCAAGCAGATCCACATTCTGAGAGCTGGTCTGGATGGATTCAGCCATCCACACCTCCTTAGCCCTTTACGAGAAGAAGCCCGCCAGCGCCCACTTGCCCAGCTCACTGATGCTACTGAGCGAGCTGGATTTTCAACCTGGGACATTAAAAATGAAAACACTGCCTTGCAGTGTCAGGACAAGTGTTCTGAAAAAGCCTTCATCAAACCTATGTTACAGGCGCATACACACAGTAATAATCCCAGCATACCAGTTTTCAGTGACATAACAAAGTCTGACCAAAATTGGCAGAATGTGGACCTGTTACCAAACATACGTGATGTGCTCAGTGCAACAAAGGGAAAAGATATCTCTACTGTTAACATGGCATGCAAAGCTCTTCTTGAGCTTTCAAACTGTTATCTACAGGCTGCAAAAGAGGCATCCGCTATTATTGAATCTGTGGACATTCAAAAACTTGCATCTCTTCAATCAGACATCATCTCACTGACGCCTATAATTATTAAAACTGCTCAAGAGGCAGCCATAAACCCTGCACTGGATACAGAGACAATGTACAAGCGCGCAGCTGTAGCTTCTGACAGAATGACTGAACTGAGACAGATACTTCTGCCTGCTGCTGGAGGCTGGTATCATGCAGTCCATGGCATGTTGCAAAACCACTCACAAAAGAACATCAGCAAAAGTATGCAAGACATCAACAAAATAATACAATCCTGTTCTGATGTTGTACAATCAGCTATCATTTCTCCAACATCAGACATTGATTGTGCATTAAGAACTGCACCTCATGAAAGCATTGCTATGCTATACAGTAAGCTGAAGAAGGCACAGGCTAATGCTAAACATCTACTTGAAGTAGTTAGTGCTTTACCAGCAGGTTCTGACAGACTCGAGGGTCCCTGTATCTTGTGGTCATTGTCCATCCAGGTTCTTTTAAACTCACTTGATAAACTCTTAGGGGCTGAAACACTAAACGATAAAGGGCAGTGTTTTGACCATACAGTTACTCCACAGAAAAGACTTGTGATCTTTTCGGAGAACTCGCTTCGAATCCAGGAGGCTGCAAGATTGTCCACCTTTATCTGTAAAGACAACAATATTAACAAAAAGATTGTGGACCTTCAAAAGGAGGTACAGGTCCTTACAGAAGTCTACCTTCAGTCAGCGGATGGCCTTAGCAGAATACCTCTGTCTAATATTAATCGGTTTGCTCAATCTGAACTTCTACAAAGAAAGCTTCAGATTAAAATGAAGATGCTATGTGCTCTCATTGGCATGATTAACACAGAATATGAAGAGACAATTAAAAACATTCTCCATTTATCCATTCTGGCTACCACAGGTAATAAAGATGAAAAGATATCAGCACAGAGGAACTTTGAAAGAGAAGCAGAACAGCTCTTACAAAATATCAAAGTTACCAGTCAAAACGTGCAGGATTGCCTGAACTACATTAGAGACCCCAGAGTCCGACTCAATCTAAAATTCATTAATGAGCACCTGTCTTTTGAAACAACAGATATTATCAGCAGAGCAAGAGAGGTCATTGAGACTCAGAATTTCCATGAAATACCAAGTCTAGAAATCCGAGTAACAGACTGGTCTGCAAAAGCAAATTATCTTGTGACAGAAATTTACAAAGTAAATGAAATTCATCAGGAGACAAAAAATCGTATAAGACTGCATCTCCAATGCAGATCTTTAATGGAAGCCCATAATGTATCTGCTGAAAACTCTTTCGCCCATAATAGACAGAAAAAACCTGAAGGAAATACTGTTTCTTCCTGGCAGACCAAAAATCCAGTGAATAGTGATAAAGAAGACATTCATCGGCCTCCCATCCAAAAACATGAACCTGAGAAGGTAGTACATTACAACCTTTTAAACATTTTGCATCCTTTCTACTGAGCATAATAGCAACTGAATGTGAGCAAATTTATAGCATTTTTTGGAAATAAATTTCAATATTCATGTAGTTAAGTTGAAAACAAGAAAAACCTAGAACACGCCTGTGATTTTTTATGGCTTAAACAAATTGAGAAGTATAAGAGTATAACCAGTAATGCTGTCAACCGTAGTTTAGCCTTTTTAGCGCAGGATCTTTTTCAATAAATCAGTTTCAATAAACATGGAAAGAAACCAGAGTCTATAATTGTCATAAATGAACAAGGTGTTTCCTTTCTTCTCTTTTCAGCATGGAATTAACCTATTACTTGTTCCATTGGCATAAATGATCCTTTTATAAACAGTGAAATTAGTAGCAGACCTAAACTTGGTTGCTTAGTCTCAGATGACAGGATTAAAGTGTGAATGTCATCGGCCAAGAGCTGCTAAGGATTTTCCTAGAGGAAAAAATTGATAAGTGTGTACTTGTAATTTCACCAGGATGTACTGCAGTTTTTGTAAGTTAGAAAGTCTAACTCAACCAACTACAGTAACTAAATAGTATCGAAAACATCTGTCCGTGATTATGCACTTCATTGTACTGCTGTCCAAAGCAAAGTATTTTGATAAGCAAATAAAGTATTCATCACTGTTATGCTCCACCTAAGATTTGACTGATAAAAATGTAACTTCCAGGAAGGAAAATAAAGAATACAGTATATCAGTGCCACTAACAGTTGTTCTGTATGTGCGCTGAACGTGAATTAGCTGTTGTCTTTTGCAGGATTCCAATGCACCGATCAGAGAAATCAGGACCAGCAGCACATCCGTTTCCCTTTCAGACACAGCCCTTTTCTTGAAGAAAGAAACAGACAAATGGCAGGATGAGAACAACAAGATTGTCCAAGTTACCAAAGAGATGGCAGCTCAGATTTACTACATGGTGCAATACCTTAAAAAGAAAGGACCCATCAAGGTATGATAACATAAGGAAACACTGTGGTCTCATATCAGTGTATTTTAATACAAGGATAGTGAACAGGAGGAGGGGCATAGTGGGTAAACCTTCAGACTCAAAACTGGTGGGTTGTGGGTTCAAGTCCCTACTGCATTTGCTGCTGTTGTACCTTAAAGAGAGTACATGTATTGTATAATATCAGGTACCTTCATATTCATTACAATCTAAACCAATGTAAATCCTGCAAGAATGGGATGGGAGCAGGGTGCAAATATTTCTAAAGCTCATAAAATACAAGCCTTGTCTGGTGTAAGCTGCTCTTGCTTTTCACAAAGACCTGACGCATTAGTCAGCGGGGCTCTGGAACGTTTTCGCCTGAGTTATGCTGGGGGGAAATTTTTTTTAGGCTTTTAAAGGCTTAGTCTAAATTCATTTTAAGATTTGATTTTCAAGAGAGGTTTGGGTGGCAAAAGGAAGGAGCTACCCTTTTTTTCCCATTTGGAATGCCTTTAATGTTGTTTCAATTTAGAATCGGGCTGTGAACTCTAAGCCACAAATTCAGAATCTACTGTAGAGCATTGCTGAGTCAAAGCTAAACTTTTATCTTGTTAAGACTGTAACTTTAAGTAAAATAAACGGTAAATAATCACTCAACAGGCATCAGCCAAGCTTCTGGTTATTTTTCAAAAAAGCAATCTGAAAGAACAATGTCCAATAGAAATGTTTATTGCTTACACCTTTTAAGTTACTTTCATTTTGTTCTGTCGATTTCAGACCAAAGATGAGTTCATCACATCAGCCAAACGCATTGCTGCTAATGGCCAGTTGATCTCTAAGTTTGTTCAGATCATTGCCGATCACTGCCTCGACAGGCACTGCTCTGCAGAGCTGACACACACTGTGGAGCAGATTCTCACCATTTCCAACCAGCTTAACATCATCTCAAGGTTAGACTTCCTACCTTACAAATTAATGCAGATGTTGTTCACTCATGCTGTGGTAGCTTGATTAACATTGCCCTTGTGTAATCTGTTATAAAATATTAGTCTCTTTTTGGGATTATATTTATGGATTTGTTTGACTGATAAGCAATGAAAATTTAGATATTCAAAATTGTTTTTGCAAAGTGTTGATAACATTCCAAATGATTTATACAGTTTTGTATAACACAAGCCAGTCCTTGCAGTGTGGCCGACTAGCACTGTATTAGCAAGTGCAATTATTAGACGTTGCTGAAAGAAATAACATACTGTAGCTTGCAGTGACATGCATGCCAATGAAGATGTTGTCTATACTGTAGTGTGGACAGCTTGAGGGGTCTGTCAAGTCCTCCTAGACAGGAAATGTGTCTGCCCTTCTGACTGGAAAAAACTTTCATGGCTACAAACATCAGACACAGAATCGGGTTCTTTTCAAGTGGTTTTTCAAACCTTTTTTTCCTGATAAAGAGAAGGCAGAAATAATGACCCCGTGAAGAGGGTATTTTAAGACTGGTTTTTGAACACCTCAATGAAACCGTTTAGAATGATATGCTTCAAGGATGAACAGGTAGAACAAATAAAACAACCCAAAAAAATGCAGAGCACAAAGACATTAGTGCTCTGAAACCAACCAAAAGAAAATTGACTATGCATAATTCTGGACTTAAAGGAATTTTCTTCACTAAATAAAAAAAATCTCTTTATTCTTCAACAGAAAAGACTACTGGAGAACACAATTCAAGCCTTGACAGTCCTCTGAAGTATTGACAAAGTCTAGTCCCCAGGTCAATTAACTACTAAAAAAATAAGCAAGATCACCTTAATGGCCACCTCTTGTTAGAAACTTCCCTTATGTTATGTTATGAAATTAATGAAGCATGACAATTAAGAGCAAATTTGATTCCTAGTATGAGATCAACATATAGAATTTACCAGGATTTGATGTTTTTACAGTGTGAAAGCAGCGACTGAAGGAGACAGGACATCTGATGAGATTCTGGTGAAGAATTCTCAAAACCTCCTTCACACAGCTCTGCAAGGCATGAAAGCAGCAGAAACAGCATGCATCAAGGTGAAATACCATAGCTAGTTACAAGTACACACTAATCAACTCAGTTTTTTATCTTATGTTCTCCACACTCACACTATATCTTTTGAGACCTGAGTTTAACTGAAAAGATAGCAAAGGTAACTAATCAGAAACAGACTCCATGACATAAGTTTTCTCTTCTCCCTTTTCCATCTAGGGACTGAAACAACCCCCACCAAACACAGACGAAGCTGAGGCAGCAGCACTGTGCTTTCGGTGGAAACAAAATCTTCAAATTCACCGTGCCCGGCAGGCCTCGAACCCTGAAATGGATGAGCTGGGTCTTCGGAAAACATCTTTAAATAATGCTGCACCCAGTCTGGCAGCACTAATCAAAATGCAAGAATCCTTATAGATTCTATAGAAATCGGGCTTTATGATAGCATTTCTGTTCTAAACCTTTTTCCTCCAATCATAACATACAATTTTAAAAGCAATAGCAGTAGCTTGGAAAGTTTGAAAGCAAGGCATTGCAGCATTATCTCTAGAGCAAAACAAAATCAGAATAAGTTTACTGTATGGTCAAATGGAGGTCTGTGATTTTTCAGATTCAGAGTATAAACACATTGGATTGGTTTACAATATACTCAATTAACATGATGGAAACTTTTTTACAAATGTTGCTTTTTATATTATGTCCTTCTGAAGAACGCCAATGATTTCCAACATCTTCATATCAGATTATCTGCAGCCATTGACAAGTTGTTAAATTAGTCCCACTGCAAACACTGCAGTTTTATCAAATAAAAGCTGATTTTTTTGCTTTGTTCGAAAATCTTTAATGTGATTTTAAAATTATTTTCAGTAAAAAATAAAATGACTGTGCAATGCTAATTTTCACATTTCTCTATCTATATCCTTTTATTGAAGACTCGAGTTAAAATGTCCTAAAACCACAACTTTATGACATTTCTGTTCTTGTCAAATAATTTTAGAATAGCAACAAAAATATCAAACTTATCAGAAGTTAATGACAAGTACAGTATTTATATTACAAAAAAGCAATATACAATGTGCCATATTACATCATAAAAAAATCTGACTTCATACAGAAACATACATTTACCTTATACAGATTTTCCAGCTGAAACAAGGAAAAATACTTTGCAAATTGCTTACTGTTCTAACATTCTTCATGGTCATGTGCAATAAATATGTAAAACAAAAGTGTCATATAACCAATGTGTTGCAAATCTGATCTGTTAGTGCAGAAAAATAAACATGATAATTGTTGTTTAACACTATTATCGGTAGATCTCTGGTATCTTGTTAAATATCAGCTAAGTACTGTACAGTTTTATAAAAGTGGCAGTTTTATATTCTTTCCACAAAAAAGTGTTTAAAACCATAATACTTCAATAGCATACATCTCTGATACACATTTACTGACAAAATAAATTTTACTGGATCCATCACATACACATCTGTGATAATTTTACACAAAGTCTGTTGAGTTTTAGAATACATCACTACAATTACGATGTTGATCTAAGTGAAAACAAAACTAAAGACACAGCACGGGGTCTGTGCAACAGTTACTTACAATTAAAATAAATAAATATCGAGCTCAACAAGTTGCCTGGGGGCCGAAAGCAACAAAATTCTAGCATACATTATCTGAAATGAAGAAATTCTTGCTGGAGTGTCTATTAACAAAAAGGGGAAGCTGTGGGGTCAAAAGTCTTGAAAACATCCTTGAGGGGTTTATCATCCGATTCCCCATTCGTATCGCTCTCCTGAGGTGCGTTCACTTGTCCAGATTGTCTGCTCTGTCTGGGGTCACTATACGGAGGCCGAATTAAACCAGCTAACGCTTGAATAGGCAGGTTGTGCACTGCAGGGGCTGTAGAAGACTGTGCCGCCATTGGCGTTGGTCGCTGCCTATTGTAGCTGCTATATTTATCTACAGTAGCATCTGAAGAAATGTCTGTTGTCTTGGTATCTGGCACCGCTCCAGCTTTGGATGCAGCTAAAGGGGATGACTGAGTATTTTCCTGTTTAACCGTTTGTTTCAGAATACTTAACCTCTTGGGATTCTCCACGTCATCCTTTGAAGACTGCAGTGTTTGGTTTCTGGGATCATACAAGCTGATTCCTCCTAGGAGTGTTGTTGGGCTACCAAGTCCTCCACTAGAAGATGACAGTTTAGGAGCATACGGTGGGAGTTTTTCTGGTTCTGATTTAACAGTGGGAGTACCCGATGTCTGGAAGGCAGAAATGCTTCCACGCTGCAACCGAGGATCTGCAGTAGTATTTGGATCTTTCACCACAGAGTGCTTTGAGTCTATGTTTAAGGGCCCTCTGACCCTGGGATCTACTGCCTTGTGAAGTCGAGGATCCAGGGGTTTTTCAGGGGAAGACTTCGGTTCCAAGGGCTTGATCGTGTGCCCGCCCGCTTTATGAAAATTATCTTTCCCTCTACCCCCCACCAGACGCGGGTCCTGAAGCAGTGTGTTTTGATTGCTGTCATTTAAAACGCTGTTATTTCTGTTCAGTCTGGAGTCAGCAATGAGAGGAGGAAGTGGCAAGTTGATGGAAGGTTCCTGCTTCGGTATAAGAAGAGGGATTAGGTCTTCTGGGGCCCATACAACATTCTTTGCAAATGCAGGTCGTGACAGGATAATGTCTACTTTGATATGGCTAAATTGCTTTAGCTGACATCTAGGGTCCCTTAACGCAATGCCAGGTAAAGGCTCTAGAGGGATTATTGCAGCCTTTTCTCTGAGCTCTCTTTCACCCTCTTCATCATCATCTCCAGTTTGCTGCTTGTGAGCAAACGAACCATGAGAGTGGTGAACGTCAGGCTTTGTGGAACTGGGGTCAGAAGGCTTGATCTTCCTCGGATCTCGGACCAGTCTTGGGTCTACAGTGCCATCTCCAGACTTTCTCACCTCTCCAGATGCACGGTGCCTTGGGTCACATTTTGTCCGTGGATCACATGGGATGTTCTTGTCCTTTTGAAGTCGTGGATCACAAGGACCCTGGGAAGCTGTCTGTTGTGTTACTGACTGCTGCTGAGTTTTAATAATCTCATTTTGCTTCTTGAGGGTTTTAAGTATGGCCGTTACACTACTACCATCCTCTTCATCGCTGGAATACCAGTTTACTGCATCATCTGAAAGAGTTTCAGCAAAAATCATGCAATCACTAGAAAGATAATACTATTATATGTAAGACATCATCACTTCACAAATTGTGGAACATATGAGAAACCTGATGCAGTATGGGGTGTATTTTTACTTTTAATAAAAAAATAAAATATATTAAAATATATTTCTAATTGAAATATATTAAAATATATTTCATACAGAGAGAACTGTAATTATACCACACATTTCAAGTCACCGGGATTCCGAAATATTCTAATACATTTCTGTAGAAAACATCATATTAATATCAATCCCCAAACTGAAGGATATACTTCACCTTTCTCTTTATTGGACATTTTTTGTCCTTTATTTTCCTCTTTCTGATGATCCCCTTCATGTTGCTTCTGACTCAGTCTGAGGAACAGTGCTTTCTGCATGGCCGGAAGGAAGTCTGGCACATGAACTGGGGGTTTATGGTTACTGCTGCCGTCTGAGTCAGTGCCGCTGTGCTGACTGTCTTGGACACAGCTGTAAGTCAGCTGGTCCATGTTAAGAGCTTCTTCTGTGTAGAACAGAATTGTTGGGGTGAGTTAGCAATACTAATCTTTGCAGTCTTTAAAAAGCAGTATTATGAAAAAACAATGGAGAGGCAGGCTTACTGGAAAAGCTAACAGCATATTACACCAAAAACAAATTTTCACATCAAAGGCTTTCTTTAAAAAGTGCAAGCGGATCCAATTAATTTTTCTTGTTACTTTTTGAATGCAAGCAGTCTTTGCTAAGGCATGCGTTAGCCAAAAGGGAGTACATGATTATAATTTCTAAAACATTTTTTCTTTCAAAAAACATCATGATCACTGTCAAAATATAGTAAGAACAAGGAGTGCTAGTACCTTCTTGAAGTGGTGCGGTCTCTAGGCTGTGAACAGTTTGGTTGGTGTAATAGTTATTGAAGAAATCCGTGGTGTTCGGCATTGCCTGAAAAGGAATGTTTTGCTGCATCTGATGATCTGACATCTGTTGAAAGGGTGGGCCTGGTGCAGTCTGTGGGGGGGTATCTCGGGATCTGTTTCCATGGGAATTCCCGTGAAAGGCTGGGGGTACCCCAGGGGGTGGTGGATGCATTGGCGGGCCATGTGCTCCTGGAAAACCATGTGGTACGGGCTGACGAGGAGGACTTTGAGGTATTGGTGGACAGTGTACCCCCGGAGGCCCTCCATGATGAGCTGGCCCCAGTGACCCTGGAGACCCAGGAGGAGGAACTGGTGGTCCATTAGGTCCAGGGGGCATCATATTGGGGCCTGGCATGTCATCAGTGCCGCCTCCAAACATCTGCGGAGGAGGAGGACCATTTCCCTGGAACTGGGGCCCAGGAGGGGAGGAGCTGTTGTAGAAATTGGGCCTAGAATAAGACAAAATCCACAGCATTGGTCAAAATCATGTATCAATAATAGAAATGAACATTTTTCTTTCTTTAATAACCAGGAGGTTCGTCTATGGATGACACAGATTTAATGCTGGAACTTTCAGTTTCCTATAATTACCTAAGTCCAATTTTTTGTGCCAGATCCACAGTTGGCTGCACAACAATTTCAAATAAGGAGGGGATCTTCTTCTGTCCGCTACAGGGGCTGCCCTCCTGGGGGCTATTAGGACCAGGTGTGGGTAGAAGTCCCACACCAGGAGGCGGCTTCGGAAGGGGAGCAATGCCCTGTTTCCGCAAGTCCTCCAACTCCTGTTCATCTTCATTTACTGGCTCCTCCTCAGTGTTCAAAACCTAGACAGGAAAAATGTGGTGTAATTAAAAGTTATTCATTTCGAAGTGGAAGTAAAGGTGTTTTTAAACCATAACGATGCATTTTCAATTTTCTAATTCTCTCTATCTTTTAATGAATATTTTGAAGATACATGAAGAATTCATTAAGCTCTTGCTGATGTTAGTTTAACAACATCTTTCACTTTCTAGTCCGTTCGCTGATTTACATACTGTAACAACAAGAGAATTGGTGTTATTTTATGTTATACATCAAAGGAACGTTTTTAATATCCATGCATTTTTCTAACCTTTTCCAAGAGTTCTCTCGTAAGATCTGTAAGGGGATCATGGGAAAATTTACAGTTATCTCCTTGATAGCATTTTGCTCCAGTGTGAAAGAACTTGCAAGGATATTCATGTAAATACCAGGGGTTAAGGAAAGCACACATTTGTAAATATGCACATATAATTACAATAAATGTGGAGTTTATTTAGGGCATTTTTGGACTGCCAGGAAACAACGAATATTGAAAACTATAACTGCACTTAAATTACATAATGTATTTTTAACAAATTAATGTTGGAAGAAAACCACAAAAATAAAAAGTGCAACCGTTTCACCTAATTACATGCATATGAACTACTTTGGCTGCTGATATATTGAATATTTTGCCTTATTTAAAATATTATTGCAGAAACACCCTTTGCAAACCTTTGTTCAGCATACCCACACATCGAAAGGGAAACAATCGCTGAATGGACCAGAATGCCAATGGTCACAGAAAACAGTCACAGGTATACAAACCATTTCAAATGCACATGCTGAAAAATACAGAAAAGGAATACTGTAGTCAACAAGAAAGAATCCAAAAATGTATTTGTTTGGGTTTTAACTCAACTGAGACACTGCACTATTCCCCACAGACAATACACATTGCTAACAAAGAGTAAAGGATATTGTGCATGTAAATGCAGTTATCGCCTTTACTACAGAATCCCTGTAGGTAGAATTTGCAAATCTCCTTTTTCTTATCAGGAACAACAAGTTCGTGTTCAAATTTACACTGGTCCCCCTGAAAGACAAAATTGGAAAATTTTAGTATAAAATAGTTACATACTACATTTAACATAGTTATATATGGTTTTATTTCTCTAGCTTTGAATCTTCTCCTAAAGGAAAAAATGTGGAACCATTTACTCTAAACTCTACCTTTATACAACGGCCTTCCAGGAAATATTTGCAAATATATCTTCCATTGTGTTCAACTGTGTGTTGGTTAATAAACTCCTGGGTCATAATTGGACGTTTCTTCTGGATAACAGCTGGACCTTTTCCTTCCTATAAGAATGGAAAATACATACTGTAAACTGTTTAACCCCAACATGTAAAAAACATTTCTAACTGACTGGATGTCCATTTTATTACAAAGCTTCAAACCTTGAGGACCACTGAAGCTACACTAAAACACAGAAGCTAAAGAAACCATTACCCGTGACAAAACTGAAATAAGGAATCCCGACATCAAAAGGTCATCCACAAATCAAGTCTCCAGTGATCTAAATGAGGACATGAATTGAAATGAAAATGCAAAATAGACTTCTTAAAATAGCGTGGCGTTCCCTGTGACGTTCTTCAAGCTTTGATGTAGTTGAACAAACTGGTTTAGGGTTGAAAATTAAGACCTGATAAGATTCTTAACCAAGAAAGAACGTCTTATTGACTGCAGTTTGGGTCTGCAACATTCCTACAGACGCAGGCCTAAGCCACACGGATGGATGAAGCCTTACCTCCTTCAGCCCATCTGCCCCCTGGTCTGCCCCTCGGCCTCGCCCTCTTCCCCAGTTCTTCCCTTTCTGCTTCTTGTTTTTCTGCATGCCACGCCCACGCCCTGCACCCCGGCCTCTGCCCTTCTGGCCTGGACCTGCAATAGTCACACATGGGACTTATCCTGCGGCCGTCTTCTCCCTTCGCCATACAGAACACGTCATGAGGTCATGTCAAGTCACGGCCGTCTGAAAAAAATCTGACTTCTTACCTTTCTGTACTCCTTTCATATTCAGCTTCTTCATCTGCTCCTTTGGGGGGCCCTTGTTGGGTCCTGAGGCTGTGGCCTCTTTAGCTTGTCTGTATTGGTTCAATTCATCAGCAAAATCATTGTCGTCGCCTTCGTAGTCATATTTTTCCTCACTATAGTCACTGAACTTGTCAAATTCATTGTTTTTATGTTGTGTCGTCTTCTGACATTTCATGTAACCTCCACTAGATTGGCCATGCTAAAAACAACAGTGATAAAGTACACAGTTATTGAAGACTGCCACTTTATAATGTTAGTAGTGTTTAGTTATGTATCAGTTTTCTATGAGCTTCACTGAGTTGATAATAAAAATGTCTTTATGTATTTCATATACTCATCCCTTGCTATATGAGCACAAACAGTTCCAAAATGTTAACTTGTAGACAAGAACTTGTAAAAGTGACACTTGAATTCATGAAAATATAGATAATTAAGTACCAAAATCCCATAATTGGACATAAACCACTTTAATATTTTTTCTGATGTACTTAAATAGTTTAGCACCATAAAATGCTAGGTCTGTGTTACAACATGTAGAATTTAGCAACACTTCATTTTTATGATATGTTTAAATGAACCAGTTATGTGGAGATTTAGGAATTTCATATAGTAAGTATGGCATAAACTAATCACAAATTTGTTGAACAAAAATGACTTATTATTAGTGTTACTTAATAAATCTTTTAAAGTTAAGGAGAATAAAACCTATAACTAAAAAAGTACAACAGAACATCTATCTGATGATAATACTGCATTCATAGTGCACACGTATCGTATAAAATATTAAACTGCTACAATATTTTTACAAATTATGCATTCAAAAATTATTCAACATGACTAGTTCAACACCCTTACAATTTCTATTAAGATGGTTAAGACAACATCATCCAAGAGAATTGAAAGACAAATGGAAAAAAACATTGTTAATTCCTGTAACAAAAAAAGTATGTACATCACTGGTTCTTGTGACTGCTGGTCAAGAAAGTGCTCCTTGGACAAGGGAAGAACGTACTATACGATCATTACAAGTCACAATCACACCTCATATACAGAACAGTTCATTTTATTTTCTACTTCGAGTTATTTAATTTTATCACTTAAACAGTAATGGCTTATTTACTGATATAGTGTACATTAAGACCACAACACATGATATTGCCTCAAAAGTGTATATGATGGAATATAAAGCCTCTCAGTGTAAACAAGTACAAGACTTATTCTAATCTGTAAAATCATATGTGGGTAAAGAACAATCTTCTGTTATAAAATGTATGTAATGCACTTCAACAGAAACTCAAAAGTGGATATTATAATATTGAAAATGTTTTTATCATACTCAGCAAATTTTGAGAAAAAAGGATAAAAACGGTCATGAAACAATTACCTGTACTTCCAATCCAAAATGTAAAAACAGAGGGGAGGAGATGTCTTTACCTGAGTAAACTGGGAGTCATAGTCCCTGTATGTTCCTGCGTTTTTCTTGTGCAGCCTTTCTGAATGCTCATAATCAGAGTCATAGCTGCCCGAACCATCTTCACTGGAGGGGGAATGATGCTGGAAAAATTACATATGCACAAAATACAGTCAGAGACATATTTTAACTTTTAATAATGCTAAGTCTCTGCAACATTTTTACCATTTGCAGGGATGAATATGCAACAAACCTAGAAAATAAACACAAGAAAACACATCTCTGACAGTTTTGGTTTAATTATTTTAAAACCATTAATAAAGAACTTTGTTTCCATAACAAATTTACCGTGAATTTGCTGCTATCTATACATACACTGTACAGAGTGCTGGGAAATACTTTTAAAAGGAATAAATTAAAGTTATATGTTACTTTTTAAAAGTAAGGGATACTTTTTGCAATTAAGTTGGTTTCTGATCTATACACTACATAGATCACTGAAACTGACGACTTCTTAAAATTCATTTCCCCACATCATCTTGGTGGTACTTTTAAAAACAAATCCCTAATACAAGTAACTTGTAACTGCTTTGGATGATTTTCTAAAGATAATTTTCCTCAACACTGACTGTACACGTTCATTGGTCAAATTTATTTCATACTGTGCCTAGGTGACACTCAAAGGATGGCAACTAATGCAAGTTAAATGCGATGCCATTTGGCTGCCTGAGGGTGGACATACCCAGTGTCAAAGAAGAAGAAGGGGCCATGCCTTTACAAGGTTACCTGGCTGTAAACTACGACATGGACGACAAACACTAGGCCGAGTGCAGGCTTACTTTCTGTCTGTCCCGTCTCCTCTTCTTGGATTTCCTCTTTTCTCTTTCTTTTCGGTGTCTCTTCCTCGACCGCCTGTGGGTCTTTTCTTCTTTCTCTTTTTCTTCTTTCAGCTCTTTTCCCTCCTCCTCAATGCCAATCCCTTCATCGTCTATTTCTCCATCTTCAAGCTCACCGTCCTCTCTTTGACCAAGAAAAAGAACACATATTTAATAATCATATATACAAGACACAGTGATTGAAGAAGAAAGTCTTTACATAGCTTAATCATCAAGTTGAGGCAGTGTAACCTTCAATAAAACATTTATACACTGTATACAAAAAAT